TCAGGATGGGGGGTTAGGTTAAACAAACAGAGGTTAATGATTGGTCACTGTTTGTACGGTTCCTCCACACAGAGTTGCACGGGCGCATCTCCCAATCCTGGCATGCAGGCATACGGTGACGCACAAAGCGATAGCGTGTCCCACAAGTCTGCCAACTTATATTCTTCCTTTGGGGTATGCGATAGACTTACCTCCACGTGGTGCACCCTGGGCAACGTATATTCATACGGCAAAAAAGTCTACTAACTGGCAGTTGACTTCTGACTTCAAACTACCCTCACCCCATTTTATGTTATATTCGACTACTTTCACAGTTCTCAACTCACCTTTTTTCTACCTTCGTCTTTGAAGCACTCTTCTGTTCCCCCCCCCCCTCTCTCGACTTTTTTTTCCCACTTTGATGTTCCTTCCCCTCTGTGAAGCCTGAAGTCAACTAAAGGGCTAATGATAACTATCAGAGCGCCTGCCATTTGATATAAATAAATATTCTTCCTTTTTCGGATAAAATGATAGGATAAGCTGTATACCATTTAGGATTCAATAAATATTTGTACCTAACATGCCATTATTTACATTCAAACGTCTTCAAAAAAGTGGTATCAATAGCGAATTCTGTAAAATAAACAGGATCTGGTCGAGTTTCATAGAACCAGGTTATTAACGCCATATATCCATTCGTAAATGTAACATTATGGCCAGTAAATTGTATTTTAAGTTACCTTCACTTGATAATATTATCTCTTCAAAGAAATTTGTTCATCGTCTACACTTTCAATTCCATAGTAATAAATGAATATAAACCAGATTAATATATTTGATCGCCTCTTCGAATATCATTCCTACACTTAAGGAATAAGAGTATTGCTAATCTTAATATGAAAAGACAATAAGGCAATCCCAATGTTCCCTACCGTCGGTCAAACGTCATAGTTCCAAAGTACGAATTTTTTGTTTTACTTTAGATATAATGTTCTTATCAGAATTAGGTGGTCATTTTATCGACAAAAATTTCCGTATCACAAAACGTATCATATGAGGTCAATGGGAACAAACTAAGTTGAAAATGCTCTATTCGTCCTTGCACTATTTCGGGGAATACAGGATGTTCGAAAGTCAGAGCTGTAAGATTGGAAACACAAAGATTTAAAATATTCAAAAACAAAATCCTTTAAAAACGGGAAATCATACCACCTCCATAGAAATTTGCTAATAATTTTGAGCCCAAATGCTCTTTCCGACCTTTACGTCGCCCCATTGGTGATACAAGATATAGTTGAGGGCACAAACAGGAGCTTAGGGTCCCCCTTTGTAGGGAAAGCCTTCCGAAGTTAGCCAAGCCATGTCATCTATACAGAGGAAACTGACGCATTGCTTGGAGCACCCATATTTGGGCTGTCACTGATAAGGACCTTAGGTCTTAAATACAGGCTTCGGTTACTCTGACCATTTCGTGACTATAGACTGAGAGGTCCCTACACTCACGGCCTGACATGCTCCTCACGTGATTGCCAGTACGCCGCATTTGACGGTATGTTCTATCACACGCGAGTTTCGTTACTTCAGCTATCTTAGCGTTGTGTTCTCCACAAAATCCTCACCCCTCTAAATCCCTAGGAAATGAAAACGTTTAACAATTAGTTACTGTACATAAACAGCCAGTCGAGAAGGGAAAGTTACCCTTCATTTACATTCACATTTTGGTTTGTGTTCACCACAGAACAAAAGCTTCTCGAATTCTATATATTCAAATTACATTAATAATTAGGCACATGTTTCTATCGATTGCAAAGAAAAATACTAAAGGTAGAGAATCAAAAGCTCGATAGAAATCTATCTGAAAGCCTACAAACGGGAAGTTGTTGTCTCAAAGCAATCTCAGTATTGAGTAATTAAGACCTCTTTAACTGTGCTGTTATTCGTTTAACCTAAACTGTGACTGGCCATTTCACTTAAAAATGTCCATATATTCATCGCCTTTGTCTAGACTCTCCTCTTTTTGTACTAATACCTTTTCTTAACTTACACGATTTGGTTGTGGTTCACTTACAGCTCCTACAAATTTTACTTAGAACACATCACTAATGAATTACGAGACAATATTACTTTAGTAAGGACAGAGAATCTCAAAATTAATTAAAAGCAATACTGTCATCCAAAAGACATAATGCATTATCCATTTTAACGAATAAACCTCCCTATATTAATAATTATCAAAAATTATGAAACTTTGTCACGATACTAATGTTAATGTAAAAGTGGTCAGCTTAAGATGGTTAATTTTGGAACAAGTATGGCATCTGCACTAATCTTAAGACAAAGTTCCTAAGGCGATATGTAAGAAAGATAATCAGTTGCTTGTGGTAGGTTTGTGTAAATTCAGATAATTACGATTACAACGTTAGCTTATAATATCTGCACATCTGAACTAGTGGTATCAATCATTATCATATTTCTTTAAATCTTTGATTTTTAGATAATAATAGTGTTAATAGTTCAGAGATCGTCTGGAACTGGCGGTGGTCATAAAAAACGCCAGCTAATATTTTACTGATTGTAGATAAAACTAAGGCCATTTGAAAGGTAATTCAAACTCAAACTAGATATTTGAGCACAGAAAGTGATTGGAGAACTAAAATACCAAAGCGCTCTGTTATTTTCCTCTAATTATTAGATATTTCCAAATGAAGTAATCTTGTCACTGAATTATAAGTATATTCAAAATTATATTGAAGACAAAAATGTGTTTCAGATTAAGATACTTTATGGGTAATCAATAACAAACCATTAATGACCTCAACAAATTAGTGTAAAGAAAAAATGCCCCTTTGAAAAAATGAAAAGTTAAAGTCTAAATTCATGTTTTTATCTGGATATGGATAATATAAATTCTCTTTAATAACATGATGCGCATGCCGGGTCTTTTGAAGTTGTGTGTGGATTCTTGAATTCTTTCAATGATACGAGGTGTTTTAATCTTTAATAATAGTGGTAAACCGAGGTTGCTGAAATTCTATGAGAACATTGTAAGGCTAAATTTCAATTATATTTAATTTACCTAGTTCATTAATATACTAATTATCGTATAAATTGATTTCTAGATATATCAAATGTTAATAGGAAATATTTTTTTATGATTTCATATTAAATTATATATATATTTGAGTTCTTAATTTATATTCATATAATTATGCATGTGCTACTTTTATATAAATATCTTCTTAAAGTCAGAAGAGCTTCAACAGAAACTGCTCCGTGAAGTATTCTCATTGGTTTCGAAACGCGATGAAAACGTGTGCAATTTTCTTGAGGGTGGGAACACTTTTTTCTCAGAGCAAGGTTGCCGAATCATATATCGTCATTACGCCACTTTGTACTTTGTTTTTTGCGTCGACGCAACAGAAAGTGAATTGGGTATACTGGATTTAATTCAAGTCTTTGTCGAATCTCTTGATAAATCCTTTGAAAGTGTTTGCGAATTAGACCTTATTTTCCATTCAGATAAGGTAAACATTTAAGCTTATATTCACCTGTTTTAGGTGCATTTTCTCCTCAATGAACTAATAATAGGTGGCATGGTCTTGGAAACACATATTAGCGAGATCGTACGTCATAACGAGGAGCAAAATAAGCTGGAAAAACAAGAGGTATGATTATTGATTTTAAATTATTGTTAATTTTTGTCGAAATATTTTCAACTCTTCCCTTACAGCAATTATCTCTTCCCATGGCCTCGTCTCGTGCGGTTTCTGCAGTAAAGGAGCTTAATTTGGGACAGAAACTGAAGGATATTAAACTTCCTGAAATTCCTTATCTTTATTCTCGATTTAGTCTGAGTTAGAAGAAAGCCTCCTTTGTCTTTCCTTTTCGTCACCTCTAAGCCTGTGATCTTTCCATCTAACTTGTGTTAATGTTTATTCTATCACAACTGTTTGGTGATGGGATTTTATTTTTTGTTA